CCCAACAGCACAGCAGTAATGACTTTATGAACTACTTTACTTCCAAGATCGATACTATTAGAGATAAACTTGTAACCATGCATCTGTCAGCTACAGTATCGCATCAGATAGCTTGCTATAGATCGTCTGAGGAACAATTCCACTCATTCTCTACTATAGGAGTGGAAGATTTGTATAAACTTGTTAAATCATCTAAACCAACAACATGTATGTTAGACCCTATTCCATCTAAGCTCCTAAAAGGGGTGTTTCCAAAAGTCATAGATCCTCTTCTGACTATTATTAATGCATCATTGTCATTAGGATATGTCCCCAAAACCTTCAAACTGGCTGTTCATTAAAAAAAAACACAACTTGACCCCAAAGAACTAGTTAACTACAGACCGATCTAGAATCTTCCTTTTCTGTCCAAGATACTAGAAAATGTAGTATCCTCACAATTATATTCCTTCTTAGAGAAAATGGTATTTGTGAGGATTTCCAGTCAGGATTTAGACCGTATCATAGCACTGAGACTGCTTATTGTAATGCTTTATTGGGTGGTTGTTCTGCACGCTTAATAAACAAACTCCAGCTGGTCCAAAATGCAGCAGCAAGAGTTCTTACTAGAACCAGGAAGTATGATCATATTAGCCTGGTTCTGTCAACACTGCACTGGCTCCCTATTAAATATCATATAGATTTTAAAATCTTGCTTATTATTTATAAAGCCCTGAGTGGTTTAGCACCTCAGTATTTGAACGAGCTCTTATTGCATTATAGTCCTCCACGTCCACTGCGTTCTCAAAACTATGGCAATTTGATAATGCCTAGAATATCACATTTATAATATTAAAATCCATTAAAGGATTTTTAGGCTGCATTAAATAGGACAACCGGAACCGGGAACACTTCCCACAAAACCCAATGTATTTGCTACATCGTTAGAAGAATGGCATCCACGCTAATATTAGTCTGTTTCTTTCTTACTCCGAGGTCACCGTAGCCAGCAGATCCAGTCTGTATCCAGATCAGATGGTGGATCAGGAGCTAGAGACGACCTCTACAGCCCTGAATGTCAGCGGAGATCAGGACAACTAGATGAGCCCCAGAGACAGATCCCCAGTACAGACCTTGTCTCCTAGATGGCCACCGGGACAAGACCACAGGAACCAGATGAGTCCTCTGCACAGTGTGACTTTGCTGCAGCCTGGTTTAAACTGCTGGTTTCGTCTGGCCAGAGGAGAACTGGCTCCCCGACTGAGCCTGGTTTCTCCCAAGGTTTTTTCCTCCATTCTGTCACAGATGGAGTTTTGGTTCCTTGCCGCTGTGGCCTCTGGCTTGCTTAGTTGGGGACGATTAATATCCAGCGATATCGTCGACTTGATTGCACAGATACTATTTAAACTGAACTGAGCTGGATGATGACATCACTGAATTCAATGATGAACTGCCTTTAATTGAAAATTGAGTGTTTACTATTGTCATTTTGCATTATTGACACACTGTTTTCCTATTTAATACTGTAAAGTTGCCTTGACACAATCTGTATTGTTAAAAGCGCTATATAAATAAAGGTGACTTGACTTGACTTGACTGTCCAGCCCCGCTCCTCTACCTCAGCTGCCAAGTTGGCATATTGCAGCTTCTTCCTTTCAAAGGCCTCGTTAATGGCCTCTTCCCAAGGGACCGTCAGTTCGACTATTATGACGATCCTACTGGAGTTGGACAAAGAACCAGGTCTGGGTGCACTCGCATTTCCCAGTCCCTGGCTATATTCAGCTGGCCTGCGTCAGGGGACAGGCACTTAGCCTGCTTTTTCTCCCCTTCCCTAAGAAAGGACTGCCTTTTTGGTAAGGTATTCTTGGCATTTTGGAGGATGGAGTTTGTTGACACTCTCTTGGTCTCTATTGCTTCCGCCAAGCACTTCAGTACTTGATTGTGACGCCATGTGTACCTTCCCTGTTTCAGGCTGGTCTAACAAGCCTACCAGGATATGTCTGAGGTTTGCCGGGGCTGCACACAGGTGGCAGGCTGGGTCTTGTCCACACCATAACTTCAAATTACTGATAATGGCAAAGGGTTTTTAATTTGCTTTGTTATAGCAAACGTCTTCATCGAAAAAAGTACGCTATTATGTTGAATAATATTTGGGGGAGCAGCATTTTAATAAGAAAATGTCATTCAGGTGTTGTACAATATAATCAGATGAGACTATCGGCTTCTGAGCGTGAGGCACAAGATAACTTCAGCTCAGCACTTTCCCATATTAAAGGGGTCATGAATTGAGAAATCAACTTTTACTTGAGTTTTTAATATATAAGAGGTCATCGTACTAAAAGAATATCCTGTAAGTTTCAAAACGTCCTTGTTACTGAAGATGCACCAATTGTTACGCTCTAATTTTGGTTCAGCAATAATCCAGGATCATGGCCTAATCCATGTCCGTGGTCCTTGCCTCAATACCCAATAATCGGGCGTGAATATACAATTGCTTTATGCGTGACTGGGGAACAATAAGAAAAGGACTAGTATGGTAAGATGGATAGATGAGGACGGTACAATTCTTCACTGCAGTCATCGGGTGTGGATCCTTGACGTTTTGATGATATGTTATGCTGAACATGATGTGTACTTATCTTTCGTGGATTTTGCCAGTGAGACACCTTATCCGATGTCCATTAGATCCCAGTTTATGTGCGAACTTTAGCCTGTGTGAAAGATGCATTTTGTTGAGGTGATTTTGCCAATGACCTTTGTATGGTGTTTCCAACAATGCAACACATCATCAGTTGTGTACCCCAGCCTCATTGGGGGTTTCGGCCCTTTATCACAAGACACCCTCAGCCGAGGCAGGCCCACCACAGGCTGATCAGACCCGGGTGTGTGTCACTTTGTTACATGGTCATTTGGCAGCCCACACTGTGTCCATCCACTTCAGCCACAGCCAGTGGCTGCTTCTTTCAGCGACAGTGGCCAGTTCCCTGACTATCCTCCGCTGGACATGTCCTCTGATGCCCAACTCCTTCAGCAGCCTTATAGTGAAACTAGCCACAAAGCCCCTGCAGCCCACTTCCACCGGGTATACTTTCACTGTGCAGCCCCGCTCCTCTGACTTAGCTGCCAAGTTGGCATATCGCAGCTTCTTCCTTTCAAAGGCCTCGTTAATGGCCTCGTCCCAAGGGACTGTCAGTTCGACTATTATGACGATCCTACTGGAGTTGACCAGAGAACCAGGTCTGGGTGCAGATTGGTGACTGCAATTTCGAATGGGAAAGTGAGTCTGTGGATTAAGTCGACTCGCATTTCCCAGTCCCTGGCTATATTCAGCTGGCCTGCGTCAGGGGACAGGCACTTAGCCTGCTTTTTCTCCCCTTCCCTAAGAAAGGACTGCCTTTTTGGTAAGGTATTCTTGGCATTTTGGAGGATGGAGTTTGTTGACACTCTCTTGGTCTCTATTGCTTCCGCCAAGCACTTCAGTACTTGATTGTGACGCCATGTGTACCTTCCCTGTTTCAGGCTGGTCTAACAAGCCTACCAGGATATGTCTGAGGTTTGCCGGGGCTGCACACAGGTGGCAGGCTGGGTCTTGTCCACACCATAACTTCAAATTACTGATAATGGCAAAGGGTTTTTAATTTGCTTTGTTATAGCAAACGTCTTCATCGAAAAAAGTACGCTATTATGTTGAATAATATTTGGGGGAGCAGCATTTTAATAAGAAAATGTCATTCAGGTGTTGTACAATATAATCAGATGAGACTATCGGCTTCTGAGCGTGAGGCACAAGATAACTTCAGCTCAGCACTTTCCCATATTAAAGGGGTCATGAATTGAGAAATCAACTTTTACTTGAGTTTTTAATATATAAGAGGTCATCGTACTAAAAGAATATCCTGTAAGTTTCAAAACGTCCTTGTTACTGAAATAAAAGCTTTTATTGACACCAGGCCCAGCGAACGTCAGATCCTGGAATGTGCCTATCTATAGGTTAAACACCGCCTCCACAGAAGAATATCAACTCCTAATTCTGTAGCCCCGACTACTAATTTGCACTGATTCGTGTAGGGAAATAACATAAGTGGTGCTAAACCGGATTGAGCAACCAAGCAATAAACATGCCGTTAATATTGTGCAGTGCCTGGTTGTGGAAGGACACAGTCGCTGCATAATTTTCCTTCGGATTCAAATATTAGGAATGCATGGTTGAACTTTATGATGAGTAATGAGTACTCATCTTTATGACTTTATGATGAGTTACTTAATGAGTAATGAATTTGATATTATTCAAAATGGAAAAAGGCAAGGATCCAAAAGTTACAAAAGTAATACAATAATTAACTCACCACCACTCGTGTCATATTGTCAGGGAGCATGTCAATGGACAGCCTATTGGTCGGCTCTTGTCCAGTTCTGTTCAGTGTGCGTCTGCTGGGATCTTGCTGGTCTCTTCTTGTTCTCTGGATGTCTGATGGACCTCCATTAGTCTTAACTGACTGCCCGTGAATTATACCTGACATAAAAACAAAATAAAATGTAATGTTATCTTATCTAAAACATTCACGTTGTCTGCACACTGAGTTAAAGTCAGCATGAAATGTAAATTTACCTAAATGCATGTTATAGAAGTGAAACAAGTAGTAGGAAAGAGGAGAAATAAAAAGCGATACTTATGTCCTTGATCTTACTGTGAACAATTTCATACATGCAAGAGTTTCATTCAAAAAACTCCTTATAAAATCCAAGCCCACCACCCTTTTTTTTTTTTTTTTTTCAGTGATCCATTTAACCAGTGCTTGAAGTTGGAACTTCTGTATTTTAGTCTTTAGCGTACTGGCACTTTTTTGTGCGTACCTGCACTTCTGACATGTTGCCGGTACTCAGAGTCAAAGAGTCAGTGTCTGGTGAAATAACAGCATATAAATCACAGTACCAGGAGGTGTCACCTCTCATCTTGAGAAATCGTGTGAATGAATGCAAGCGGAGTCTTGTCTGACTACTGAGCTGGTGGTGGTTGAGGAGATTCCCCCCTTCTATGTAAAAGCGCTTTGAGTGCCCAGAAAAGCGCTATATAAATGTAAGGAATTATTAATTATATTATTATTATTACTGCAGGGGTTGTCGCTTTTCCACTTTCTGGCCAGTGCGTGCGAGCCAGGGCTAATGAACCGGGTGGGTCCAATGCTGCGCTTCCACTGTCGGACCAGCGCTACTCTAAAAACCCGCCCTTAACACGCCTTTCTGAAGCAAACGGCACACAGCATCATATCACCAGCGAGGGGAAAATGAATGAATGTCAGGAGAAGTAGAATAATAATGAATTACTCATTTGAATCAGTACATTGTAACAAAAACAATACCTTAAAATGACAAGAAGCAGGTTTTTGCGATCATTAATGTAAACCGATAAACTCCAAGGAGGATCCAGTAAGCGAATTCAAAGAGTTGTACAGAACAGCACTAATGCAGAGAAAACACGACCGATTTCATCAGAGATTGTGGAGAGAATAGTGACTCACGTCCAGATGTCAGTACATTATTCTTTTCATTGTTTATTTGGCTTAAAAGCAATAATGTTTTATAATGGCCACTGGCTGGCTGAGTGAGGTTTTATGCGTTGATAAGAAGTTTAGCGATTCTGAATGTATCCAGTCAGGTCAAGGCAGGAGGTTTAGTGGTCTTTGGCGTCTCCCTGTGGTCCTGTTTGGTATCGCAGCTTGACTTGTGCTTATTTGAAAAATGTTTATTTTAATTATTGATTGATTGTGGCACCACACATAGCCTACATTGTGAATTATGAACATTAAAAAGTACTTATTTCATATAAAAAATAAAAATAAATAAATTGGGGGGAGGGGGGGTACCAGCACAAATTTTTCTACTTCAAGCACTGCATTTAACTAGGATGTACAGTTGAGGTCAAAAGTTTACATACCCCTTGCAGAATCTGCAAAATGTTAATTATTTTACCAAAACAAGAGGGATCATACAAAATGCATGTTATTTTTTATTTAGTACTGACCTGAATAAGATATTTCACATAAAAGACGTTTAAATTTAGTCCACAAGAGAAAATAATAGTTGAATTTATAAAATCGACCCCATTCAAAAGTTTACATATGCTTGATTCTTAATACTGTGTTGTTAACTGGATGATCCACAGCTGTTTTTTTTTTTTGTTTTGTGATAGTTGTTGGAAATAAATCTGGAATCTGGTTTTGAGTGAAATAAGTATGAACAGATATATTTATTAAACATTTATAACATGTGAGTTAAAAATGGTTCACTATTTGGCAAGTATTGTGTCAAATCACTCTTTTTATTCATGCATTTATAACTGCTTATCAATGATTTATAATGCATTTGTAAATGACTTATTGGTCATTTATGAACACCTCTATAAACAGTTTACAAAGGGAACCTTAATGTAAAATGTTACCAGGTTTTCAATAGACCAAACCTTTTTTGTAAATACAGCTGCAAGCAGCAATTAAGGGGCCAAGCACTACAGAAGCAAAGAAGAAAGCTAGCACCACACCAACTGCAAGAATGAGAAAATAAAGACATTTTAAGATGATTTTAGTCAAAATGACTGAAAAATCATAAAAGCAATCACTAGTGATATGATTTAATGGTTCATCATATATATACATATCAGTGGCGAGTGGTGACTTTTTTAATCGGGTATGCTGAGTGATAAAATTAAGACCCTCAGCTTTTTGGACGCACTCAAAGAGGGATCACAGATGACAAATAAGAAACACCATGGCAGGTATCGATTTAAAAGTATGCACATGTCCTTCCTTGTTTGTAAATGAAATTCATCTCCAATCCTCCTTCTATCATTTCAGGTTTATCCATTGTTATTCGAAAACTAGAAAATATAGATGGTTTTCTAAGTAAAGACCGCCAAATAACGTTTACACGTAGTTACATTATACTTAATATTCAGATGGAGATGGGGGATTCCCCCCTATATGTCTCTGCATCTGCTAAAGGTTTTTTTTTTTTTATTCCCAGTGAATAGGAGTTAAAACTTCCACCCAGGTGACACTACTCCAATAGAGAATGAGGAGTTACGTCACGATCTTTTCACTCCACATTCCATTTCGGGAAGGCGCCGCCATATTAGCAGGATACGTTATCCGTTCCAATGGTTACTTCTCATTCTCTAGACGGATAACTGCTTATCTTTTGTTTTGTTTTTGCCTTTAAGTTAAACAATCATTAATTCTTCATTGTACTGTTTGCATGGAAGATAAGCTATTTTATCACACTGCATGATAATTAGATTTTTTTCTCTTAGGTTTTGTAAACCTGATTAGCGTGAAAACAGTGTCGCCCGCTGGACGCTCGCTGCTGCTTCAGCCGTCATATGGTAGATGATCCAAATAAAAGTGTGGGTTCAACAAGCTGACAGAAGTCATTTCTTTGTTGGAAACTGTCACGGTTCATGGGTTCACTGACTCATTGTCGCTCTGTGTGTATGTGTGTGTGAGTGGGTGTGTCGGTGATTGCTGCTGACTGTTGATCTGCGCCAACTGTAGCTCATCAGCTCAGCTATATAACACCTGTGCTATCCGTCCTGTGTCAGAAGTCGATCCATTTCTTTGTTGGAAACTTTTAAATGACAAAGTATAATTGTTGTCATTATAAATATTAATTTTTTTCCATGGCCACGGAGGAGAATCAGAGATTGTGGGTCACATTCAGCAAACAGTCACGAACTCACTGTACTTTTTATATTTATTTCAACAAATGGCAAGCAAAATCAAATCCCTAGGAGCTTGTGGACAGTCTTGTAGCATTTTAAAATGCTGGTTTAATGTACTAAGACAGTGATGCTAAAAGACATGCAGATGAGCCAGAATATTAACGCAATGTGTTTAAAAGTTTAACGTAAATCGTTTTCCTCTCTTTAGAAAACTGTAGTGTAGAAAGCGCTTATGGATTAAGACAGTGATATTTAAAGTTCATATTTTGGGCTCATCTGTTTTTCTGCACATATTATGCTTTATTAGTAAGATGTGTGTACTGTCTCGGTGCATTAAAGTCCTTCTCTGATTTTATTGTTGTTTGCCATGTTGCAATGTTACTTGGCAATATTTTAAAGATATTATTATTTTGGGTATTTTGCATGGTCTGTTATAAAGAATGAGAATGTGACGTAACGGCGTGTTGAGTTCTGGGAAACTGCTTTGTTTATCCGCCATACTTGCAGGATAGCGCTGCCTTTCCGCTATTGAGTTTAGGGCCGTATTTGATTGTTTGTCATGATTGTGAAAAATGTCACCAGTGTATGTCATTCATGCTGCATTGAGAATGGCAATAGTAACTCAGATCATCGTTCTGAGAGAAAACTGGACAATGCAGTATGTTTTTTTTTTCGCGAAAAAAGGGAAGGAGGTCGCGGAGAAGACGCCGAATAGCAAATCTGTTAATGTCACTGATTAAACCCACTAACTCTCAATAAAAGAATCACATTGCTGTGTGTTTTTGAAAATGTTTATTTTGTTGGTTTAATAGTTAACATTACCTTCTTTGCGAGCATGACCCTCACTAGGCTTGTGAATTAGCAGAACTTGAATAGGGGACTTTCTAAAATGCTTAAAGTGGCTAAATGTACCAAGACAAATGTTTACAAAATTGTAAAGCATATACTATGTGTAGATATGCAGATAAGCTTAAAATGTGAACGCAACGCATTTATTTGCACGTTCAGTATTTTCCTCTCATATAAAGAACACGCTTAACTTTAGCCTAAGTGAAACAAGCATACACAAAACAAAGGGAACAATAACATGTTAATGTCCAAAATGTTCAGAGGATTCATGTTTCTTTATTTTCCTGACGTTTTTTTATTATAAAAATTTTATATAGCCCACGTTTTTATAACTTTTTATTTTGTTTATTTACCAATTAGGCATGTTGACAATAACGCATAGTCTATCTTCAACATGCATATGTTGTCTATGACCAAAAATGTAAAAAGAAATGTTTTTAGTGGACTTTTAAAATTTGCTTTGCTTGAGAAAACATACAAATACAGTTACAGCATGTTTTTTCTTTTGATTTAGTTGAGTTGGTTTTGCATCAAACATAAAGTGATTTTCAGCAATCGAGATCTGACAGCAACAGTGCATTTTTCCGCTTGGGCTAGCTACAATCCTGACGAGTCATAGCAATAGAGCGGAGGCGGGAAAGCTGCGGAGAATCCGCTCGCCTGGAAGCAACCGTAACTGACTGCCGTTAAGCAAATAAATAATTTTACGTACTTATTCCTAACTCTTTAAGCTTTAAGTTACATTTCAAATGACAAGGTATCAACTTATAATCATGTTTATATTAATTATCCCATGAACTTATTCTCTCAAATGGCCTGGGTATGCAGAGCATTCGCAGCTTATATGGATGGAATGCCACTGATATATATA